TATTTAAATTTTAAAAAAATGGTATTTATCAACATCAAAGTAAATAAATAAAAGGCAGACAGATAGACAAACTTTATTGTCTAAAAATTATTGTTAATGTAAACCAAAATAGATTGAAGACGATACTAATTACACTGCATGAAACGAAATTCCATAACGGAATGTGAATAAAATATCAGAATCAAATGGGTTTTTTTTTAAAAGGCTTAAACTAAAAACAGGATTTCTTTTTTTGTGAATATCACCTGATACAGAAGATGAATAAATTTGACTACTATTTTTTGAAAAAAAAAGAATATCGAGTTTTATCTGTTTTTTAAGTTTACAATAAAGTGGTAACACAACTGGGACAGATAGTTACAGGCTCAAGTTTGTTACACCTAACCACGAAGAGAAAACACGAGAAGTTATTAACAAGATAAAAAGTAAGGAATGAGTGACAGTATCAAATACACTACAGGAAGCTAAATATAAAAATTATATTGTCAATATGATGTTGTGAAAACTACTGAATTTCATTGGAATCATGAACTAATCCAAGTCATACCACCATTGAGAATCTGGAAGCACAGAACAGCTGTTTCGTCCTAGTATGAGAAATTTACAGAGCTTTAATAAGAAGCTGTGACCAGTGGTGTTAAACCATGTATATGATGCAGTTACTCACTGAAAACAATGTAAGTTGGCCGCGCAATGTCATGGATTTATTGAATTTAGATATTAACAATACTGAACCAGTGGTCTATAGGTCAAGCGTTCGTGCACATGACCGAGGATCCTGGGTTCGGTTCTCAGCTGCAGGGTCGTGAGTGTGCTCTGCTGAGGATGAGTACCATATTGGAACGAAACGGCCGCCCAGCGCTTCCAGGTTTTTAATGGTTGTCTAACTTAGACCGAATCATGATTTCCATGCAATCAAACCCAAAAATCAAGGGGATGACACTAAACTCAAACTTTACAGGTAGAGTAGTGGTCTGATGGTTGAATCGTATAGTTTTCAACTATTGGCAGGTTAGAGATATACTCTAAATATTTCACTTCTGCCTAACCAGTAATATCACTAGTCATCACATAAATTGTGGCTTACTGTCGAGTACATATACCCACACTTCGTATATAGATAACGTAAGCAATTTTTGGAAGATAAAAAATGAACCACACACACCAGAACAACTAATTTTGGATCCATCATCTCAAACCAAAAAGTACAGTTATATCGTGGACAGCAACCTAGAATCCCACATCAAGCAATAAGTTTCTAATCAACTGCCAATAAATTCACGCACTGATACCACATATATCTAGCATAAACTAGAAAGAGCTATTATGATATCGAGCGCATCGATGAGAATTCCGAATTTCTCGGTAAACAGTTATCATGTAAGAGTAAAGGGTAGTAATATTCGCATAGCACACAGATACAATTGTCGACTCAAATCCCGTAGTGATACAGGTAATAAAATTATAAGCGGTAATCGGAAAGATTAGGGTTTGAAGATGTTATTCAAGGAGTATAATTCAGTGAAATAAATTTGGAAAGAGAAAAAAAAGAAACATGGAAAATTCAAAAGATTAGAATTCGGCAGAACAAAAAGAGTAGATGCACCTGCGCTATTGCAAACCATTTTGAGCCATGTCATTCAAAGTCTCTAACCGTCGGTTGCTATCATCTCGTGGATCCCAACCAGGTAGTCAACACCTACCAAAATAGCTCAGTCCACTTGTCAGTGACTACATGGATTTGTGCCATGTTTTGGCCTGGTCTGTGCAACTCCTTGCATGTGTAAAGCATTTTCTTTTTCATGATCAGAGTACAGCACCACCTTTACTGAATTTAATCTTTTCTGTCCAGCTTGGGTCCGATGGATTTCACTGATTTCTAGCACCATCAAGTAATAACTCCATTTCTGCAGCTATTGCATTGGTCTTCCTGGTCTCCCACATTGTCTGAACATTTCATGTACCTATATTAATTTTTGCTCTGGTTGTTAGAAGAGACATCAGTCTCGTGAATACCGAAGAACTCGGCTGCAGGTACATCCACCTGACGGGTACTGAATAAGACAAAAACGCGCATCCTGGACTCCACTGTTAGTCAACATCTATCTTTGCTCGTAGATCACAGAATGACTTTTTAAGAAGACGTAAAATAATTTCACAATATATTTTTGTAATGCAAAGCCATTTATTGACGTAGCTTTGCTAGCCTTCTGGTCAGATCTATTCAACAATTTGGGTGGGCGTTTTGATTAAGAGTTAGAAGAGCTCAACTATTTTAATACATGAAGGGAGAGAAATCACACTAAGATTAATGTTTTCAAAACATCAAATTTATAACAATATTTGAACCAAAAGTTAAAACATACGTCAGTAACTTATAAATATATCTTTATTATACATGACAGTCAGTTAAATAATTGTTGGAAATTTGATCTCACGAACGAAAATAACCAATGGTATATGGATAATCAGCCATGTTATTTTGGATCTGGTCGTGTACGTTATGCTGTTAGTATATACTCTCTATCTAACCAGTTTATTTAATTCACTCTTACCAACATCTATCTCGTAGAAATGAACTGTTACTTTCAAGCTAATCCCATACTCCTCCTTGACTACGGTTGATTGAGCGTGGATGAACTATTGAGATATTATAAACTGATAGTTTCATGTCCTTCAGAATCATGATCTTAAATACTAATGTAACAGACTCAGAAGTTTTTAACAAGTAGTTAGCCATCTTTTTGTAAACAGTAGAGAAATGATAATATATGTAATTAGACATATCTATACTTAGGGCAATTAATTACTTGTAAAACATAGATTAAAGTCTATGGTATCCCTTCATCATAAAGAGATGTCAGAAGAAATGAGAAAGATACTCAGTATGACATGAAAGTGTTTTTTTACTTAAGTAAAAAATCTACAATCAATATTAGTCGAAAATAATGATAAAATGTAAAGCGGGTAAGAAAATTTTTGTATATGAACTGTAGCACAAGAAGCATTATGGTATCTGTGTTGAACAACCATCAAGGTAGTTTTGAATTTTTAGTGTTGAAGATGTGTAAGCAATGAGTCAAGAAATCACAGGAACCCATTATCAAAATAAAAGTTCTTTCTGAACTGGCTTTATTTTCCCGAGCTTATCGAAATGTTAAATAGTCTATGAGAAGTTGAAAGTAGATTGGAGTGAGTACTAAATTCAATAAAAACAGGGTACACAACTTGGGAGGAAATTAAGTTTGTGTGTTAAGCCATACTACTTGTTGTTATTAAGTAGCTCAAGTTGCATCATACTATTTATAAACCACGCACTTGGGAACGAGTAATAACCTGTATCTTATCGAAACTGTAATACTACTATTTCGATATATTTTTGCAAACATACCATGATTTACTCTTTTACATCCTTTGAGAATCTATTTATCTAAGATAATTCATTTGTATTCCGTTGGTCGCTAATATGATATGACATACAATTAAGATGCAAATGCAAATATACTATGAAGCAAAACAGACCCGAGATAGTACGATTTTGTAGGCTAGTCTATATGCATTCTATGGTGCGTTTGAGCTGAAAAGTCAAAGGACTGACTGAGTGTCCTCTTCAGTAGGACATAACCTGTTAAACATAGTACAAGGAATGAGTTTTGAAGCGCATTAGGTTCTCTTTAACGCTTCGTGAAGTTTCAACTTGACCACTGACAAGAGATATAGTGGTCTAAAAAGCTTCTACAGTTTATATGTTGTTGCATCTATGTATATTGTCTGCCAATTTGTCGCCTTACACAAACAATAAATTATTAAAAATATATTTAAGAAACTGAGGTGGGATTTTTATAACACTAGCCCGTGAACTAAAAATCTACGTAAAATCAAATCCCGAAATTGCTTTCACCTTCCAATTTTATGAAAACATTGTCTGTTGAACGAAAAACTTTAAAACAACGAACATCAAGAGAAAAAGAACTCGAGGGACTCAACCTTACTGTGCAATACTTATCATCTGAACACTCAACTTCAAATTACTTTTCACCAGTTATGTCATCGAAAAACTAGTCTTAAACCACCCTCACTTTATAGTATACTTTGAAATATAACCAGAAACTTCTATCTTTTGTATAAAAAAGCTAATCATTCAATCATCAGTTACAGCGTTCAATATTTGAGCGTTTGGAAGCAACCGCCAGAAAGCCCTGAATACACACTTCGTACCAGTCGGCACTTATCAGCAAAGGTTTAATTTAGAAATAATTTATGCTGAAATGGTATAAACTAGGTTATTGTCGATCAAGTTTGTTACCCTACGGTCGGAACTATGCTGAAAAAAAAAACCAATACGTCGTAACGGTGTCATCAACTATACTATGGTGTTTATACGGTGTTGGTCGGGAGTGAAATTCAAGATCATCACAAAAAGCTCTGATAGTAACTAATAAGTTCTGTTAGAAGAGGTGACTAAAATAAATAATTAACTGGCTCCATAGCGATCTCAAACTCGAAAGTGGGGGGTTTTGAAATCAGTTTCTCAACGATAAAACAACAACTGATTTTAAGCAATTGATTCGCTGTACAAATTTAAACAAAGTAAAAACAACGATCTTGGGAGAAGGCGAGGAATTTATTGTATTCCGTTGCCTTCTCTTAAGCTACATACAAGTTAATAAGTTCAATTGTTTTTGACTATTAACAAAATGTTGAAAAGTGGACTGTCAACTGATAACAAATAAGTTGCTCGAAATGTGAAAGATGTTAAGAATTAACGTGTTAATAGGATTTCTATAAATACTTCGGGTGATAGTCCGAGAATATTTAAGATAAAAAGACGTGTGAGTTCAACTCACAATCCAGTGAGTTAGTCCGCATGCAGACGAAGAAAAAAGCAACAAAATACAGTGGATTCATAGTATTCTGAAAATATGGCCATTCTTGCTTTTTTCGAATACTTATATATATATATATATATATATATATATATATATATATATATATATATATATATATATATATATATATATATTGGCCAATAAACTTCGGTCAAAACCTAGAGCTAACCAATGTTTTTTTGACTTGAAACAGCAATGAATATAAACACTTTGAAGGCAACAAATATTATTTTGGTTGGTAAAAAACTCTAAATTAACGAACCAAAATCCTTAATCTAATATATACTTTATACGCTATTCAGTAAAGGTACAAAAAAGGTGATCTTAAAAATTATTTTCTTGAAATAAAGTCAAAATATTTGTAGAATGGTAATTACAAGTCGGTGTATATGTATGATTTAAACAGTAAGAATTTTAAGTTCTGGAGATAAAAAAGCAAAACATCAACTAACTCAGTAATATTACAATTTACACAGTAATTTACAATAGAAATTAGTACATCATTCCATAATCAAAACAGACTTTTTTCTAATACTTGTTGGTGCTGAATCACTGAATAATGACATATGCAACGCCTTACGCCATTCTTTGAAAGGAATTTCTTCAAATGGTGAGGGTCTAATGAGATCTTCAGAAAACCATTTTGATAATTGGTCGATAGTAAGTTGTCTTTTTGAAGTGGACTGATGTAGATTAAAATTAGACAGCCAAAAACCGCGTAAACTGATATCTTTAAAAATGAATGGACCAACGGGTAAGGGCATTGGACTCCGTGTCATTCCACCGTATGTAACCATAGTCCCGGAATGACTTAGGTTTTTCACCAAGATCGATGCAGGTTTCCCCCCTAAGCAGTTTAATGCAAGTTTGAAAGGGCCTATTTCTTTTGCTCGTTCCATGTATTCAGACTCTGTGAGACACCATGTACCTCCATAACTTTTAAGAAGATTACGTGTTTCTTCTGTGGCTTGAGGTGTATCTCTTTCACGAAACAGGTTCACTAAACACATAAAATATGAAGGCAGTGTCAAGATAAGTTGATAAAATAAATAAAACTCTCACCTGTATTGAGTCCTAATATTTTTGCTATTTGGATTACATATATTCCAACAGCACTAGTCGCACCATTTTGAATTAAAATATCGCCCTTGTGAAGTTCTACAAAATTATTGAGTAAATGAAGTGCAGTGCTAGGATTAATTGCTAATGTTGCAGCATAAGATATCGGGATGGGATGTTTTATCTTCAAGAAACTGTCAGCTTTACCACACCAGTATGTTTGCCATGTCCCTGACGCTAATTCCAAAGGAATAACTGTATCACCTACGGAGAAACCATCCACGTTCTTCCCACACGCAATAATCTGATATGACAATAAATAACATTAGTGGTTTTAACTGTGACATTAAAAACAGGTGGAAATTTATTGGTTTTTCTGTAAACATGGTTCCAGCCTTTAGTACCGAGTATACAAAAATTCGTGGCTGTTTTTACGCCGAAGTAAATGCCAAAAAACTGTTGTTTACTGAAACCTTCCAAGGCATCTTAAGTGAATCCACTCAAGTAACTGTTTCTAACTCATTATTATGTGATATATTTAGTCACTTTTATCAACACGTTTGTTTATATTATATACTTATTTATTTAACCACATGAACATTGGTACAAGGAGGTACCAAATATATATGCGCCACATAAATCATTCGATTTGTGTGAGGGCTGGGATAATGCCCGGGCGCTCAAACCAAAGCTAACTAACATTAACACTGCATTGCTCATAAGCAACAGTTTAAACAGACGGGATAGTATGCTTATAACTACGAAACTGACTATAAACCTACTAAATATGCTAGGCGACGTGAGACAATGAAACATGAACACTATTTCCACAAAAATTCATCGGAAAAGTTTCAAATGGATACTTGATTTCCGAAGTCCATTGTGGTTCCAACCGGAATTGAACAGCAGGAGAGCTTAGCTACATTATTTGAATTATAGACTGCTATACGGGTGACATATGTTTCAGTTCTAAAAGCAATTAGCCATAGATTGAACACTAAAGTGTGCCTAACTTAAAGCTGCACTTATGAACACAGTTGAAGGACGAAATGTCAGTAAATTAACCTTTTAAATGTTTGACACCAAAACCCAATAAAATATTAAGGGTTTTGAGTAGAATGGTGATTTGGTGGTAAATGTACGTGCCAAGTATGTACTGATTTGATCGTTGGTTTTCCTACTATGATTTTTGGTGGTCTGACAAATTTTCTAGCCGTCAAAGTGTGGTTTAAAGTTAGCTAAATAAGTTTGTGCCTGGCAAATTAATTATACTAGCTAAAATCATGTAAAATGACTTCTCGATAAGTGAAAGTAGAATAGACGTTGTAATAAGTTGATAATAGAAACAGGATTTGATGGAAACTAAAACACACAAATTATCATTTATTGTTGGTAACATACTACTCACAGAGTAATAATCATGCTTACTTTACCCGCACCTTCATTCCCAGCAACAGCAGGTAGTTTTGGTTTGATTGGATAAGTACCTTGTATCGTGTTGATGTCCGATGGATTAATAGGGGCCGCGTAAACTTTTACCAAAACCTCGTCATTTGCAAACGGATGTACTGGAGTGGATGATAAACGTAAAACCTGTTCTGGATCGCCATGCTCAGTATAAGTGATAGCTTCTGAATGAACAAGTCTTTGCAGTAGATTCCATTTTTTTGAATTACAAAGAAAAGATGATCGTAGCATACTAATATTGAAGACCAAACGACGACGAACCTTTTTGTGTCAACAACTACAACGCAAATGATCACGATAATTAGCAGATTATAATACTAATTCCCAATTTGTACATATGCACTAAGTAATGTCAGTCAGCTCTGAAAAGTAAAAGCAGTACAACTTAGTTGAAAACTACTACTGTTTGAGTCCCGGTCTTAGTTAAGTGCTAACACAACGTACAATTTGAAGCTATTTTTTAATGGTGAGTAAACTGAACCTCCAAACACAGCTACAGATTAGGCTTCCTTAGTTCCGGTTTTGAATACTATCGTTAATTAACCCGTACGGGTTCGCTACGTAGCAAATGTATATAGTGGTACGTATCACTAGATATATCAGAGAATAATTATTCTGATTCTGAAGTCACTGAACTGTCTAGCAAGATGGACGAACTGATCGCTTTAAATGAACGCTTATCCATGGGTGTAATGGACAGGCGTACGGAGCAATTAGATAATTCAACTATTGCCTCCCCACTAAGAATGCATGAGGAGTTGTGTTCTTTTGAAGTTGCTTTAGATGAGCTAGAGTTCTGTGATCAGCTCGTAAGTTGTAACACGTGTTTGAACAAATTTTAGGTGGCCAGATTGTACGAGTTCATATGTGATGACCCTCCCAAATCAGCAAAAGCCTGTCTAAGTTACCTGTTGTCGCCGGAACTGGCGCACACGTATTAGTAAGAATAAATTTTACCGGACGGTTCAAAGTAAGTCCACACTACTGTATTAATATATTTGTAGGTGTTCTGTGTTCCCGATTCCGAAGTGCAACCTGTCCAGAAAAAGAAGTAATACACGTCATGGATGTTGCAAACCAGGCTTTCTTGCACGACGCAAGAGAAAAAGTAAATAAGCATGGATGGCGATCCAAAGAAAGGGTGAGCTAAAAGCACTTTACATGTTTGGTATAATACATATTTCATTTTTAATATTACTTTGTGATCAATATCTATACTGATACAACTTTTTTCTTGTCAGTAAAAAGTTATTTCTTGTTCGTCTTGCTTTCAGCTCGCTTCGCAAGTTTTAACAGACGTAACTGTAAGTTCTTTGTCCGCATTATTAACAAAATTGTTATACCGCTGGTACGTCATTGACGTTTTACATATCGGCGAGACTCTAATTTAGCGACGAGCTAATCAGAAGCGTTTGAGCAATTTCAAGGTCACGGAGCCAAGTTCAACACGCGATGCTAACATACGGTCGGTTCACAGCGGATTTTAGAGAGGAGGTGATTAATGAGAGGTTAAAACAGATGGGACGGCGAAACTCTAATTTAGAGACGAGCCAATGAGAAGCGTTTGAGCAATTTCAATTATTAGCCAATCAGAAGACAGTATAAAGTAAAAAATATATTACAAGAAAGTAATGAATTACAGTGGATATTCTTCTTTTACATGATTTAAAAACTTGTTGAGGTTTGATAAAGGCTCAGAAGTTCTGAATTCATAATGCATATTGTATAGAAACTCGTCCATAGCGTTAGGGTTTGGTGTTAAGGTTAGATTAGGGTTTAGGGTTAGGTTAAGGTTAGGGTTAAGGTTAGGGCTTAGCGTTAAGGTTAGATTAGGGTTTAGGGTTAGGTTAAGGTTAGGGTGCTAACATGCGATCGGTTTACATCGGATTTTAGAGAAGAGGTGTTTATTGACAGGCTACAACCCCACTCTGACCCTACCCATAACTCTGAACCCTAACCTCTAAAATCCGTTGTAAACTGATCGCATGTTAGCACCCTCACCCAATCTTAACCCTAACCCTAGGCTACAACCCTAACCAATAACCCTATAGACGAGTTTCTATACAATATGCATTATGAATTCAGACCCCCTGAACCTTTATCAAACCTTAACAAGTTTTTAAATCATGTAAATGAAGAATATCCACTGTAATTCAGTACTTACAACATATTCTCACTTTATACTAACTGTCTTCTGATTGGCTAATAACTATCAAGGCCATTTAAGATTCGTTCCAAGGTCGTCGCTAAATTAGTCTCGCCAGTCTTATAATTACAGCTATAGATCGGTTAACGTTAAGTTTCTTTGGCATTGCGTAATTGACAAATAAAGTAACGTCGCAGTAAATACTGTACGTATGTATTCTTGCCTGGTTTTTCCGTGATTTCTGTAAAAAATTTCGGAGATGATGGTGAAATTTTGAGGAAAAGCGCAAACTTCGAGGTACATTTTGGGGAAAAACCCGAAAGTCAGGGGAAAATTTGAGAAAAAACACGAAATACAGGGGACATTTAGGTGAGAAATCCCAAAGTCAGAGGAATTTTTGGGGGAAACTCAAGATTTCCCTAAAATGTTTCGCAATTTTGGGGTTTTATCAATAAATAATAAGCCCACTTCCCCAAAGTGTAATAGGATTCTAGGAAAATTTTGAGGTTTTCTGCCATTTCCCCAAAGTTTGAAATGGCGGATTCCCCTGAATGGGTTAAATTTTCGCCAAAATTGGGAGCTCGGGAGCAGTGAAATTGCAGATATAACATGGCAAATGAACTGTAGCGTCGTATTTTCTGTAATGTTCCACTTGACACTTGTCTATTTGAATTTTATTAATGCATACACTCCTACCACACTTCAGGTTTTACGAATAAGAAACAGATTAACCCACTTGGTAGCGCAAACAGACAGACCACGCGCTAAATGGTTCAAATGGTTGTGGACGGAATAGAAGAAGCTTTCGCTTAACAGGCTTCCGTGTCTAGTAGCAGGGGATCACCAAATCCTCCAGGCAGGAACCTAGGTATGTTAACAATAAAAGAGGAAAAGAAATTGGTAAATCATAGTGTGATGCTTTCCTTGGTCCTTAAGAATAGGTCAAGTTGCCTCTTGAAGGACTCCTGAGAAGTCGCTTGGACTAGCTCGGCTGGTAGCGAATTCCAGATTTTGACAACTCTTAAGGGGTAGAAGTTGTGTCTACATTCCGTCTTGCTATGTTGTGTTTCCAGTTTCTGGGTGTTACCCCTTAGGTTATTATTTGAACTAAGCTTAAGTAGGTGTTTAAGAGAATGTCATGAGGTGTTAAGAATACTTTAAGCCATTAATAAATCACCTCTAAGACGCCTATACTCTAATGGGTAAAGGTCTAGTGAATGGAGGCGTTCTTCGTAAGGTTTAGATTTGAGTCCTCGAACTGATTTCGTGGCTCACCGTTGGATACACTCCAAAGTGACCTTGTCCTTTTGGAGTGAGGGGGGAAATACTATGTTTCCGTACTCTAAATGGGGACGGATGATACTATTGAAGATTGTATGGAAAGTTCGTCCGTCAAACTGTCCAAAAATGCGCTCCAACGTTACCAGTTCAAGGTTTGCTCGGGAGGCATTTTTGTCACAATTGGCGTAAGACTTTAAATCATGGGGCACCAGGACTCCTAAATCTTTTTCGACTTGGGATACTACTAGAGAGAAGTTTCCTAAGTTGTAACTGTAGTCTGCGACATGTCGCAGATGGACTACTTTACACTTTGAAGTGTTGAAGGTAAGTCCGTTATCGTCTACCCAACTTTGAAGTCGAGTCAAATCCTCCTGAAGTGCCTGTATATCGTCTTGGTTGCGTATCTCTCTCCAAAGTTTCACGTCGTCGGCAAAAAGTAATAAGTCTGACGTTACCTGTTGAGGAAGATTATTTATGTAGATCAAGAAGAGAAGAGGCCCTAGTACTGAGCCCTGAGGGAATCCCACTAAGACAATCCATAGCCTGAGATAAAGTGAAATTAAACCTAACCTTAAATGTCGATTTTTTAGGTATGAAGTAAGCCAATCGATTAGAGGTGGTTTGATACCTAGTCGTCTGAGCCTATTGATAAGACACAAGTGGTTAACCTTATCAAAAGCGTTTGAGAACAGATGGTTTTGGACGGAATACAAGTTCGGTGTTGTGCTGCTGAAGAAGAATAAAAGTAGGTTTCGCTTAACGGGCTTCCGTGTCTAGTAGAAGTGGATCACTATTACCTCCAAGCAGGAAACTAGGTATATTATCGATAAAAGATGAAAAAGAAATTGGTAAACCATAGTAAGATACCATCCCTACTCCTTAAGAATATGTCAGGTTTTCTCTTGAAGGACTCCTGTGAAGTCGCTTAGACTAGCTCAGCCGACAATGAATTCTAGCATTTGACTACTGTTAAGGAATATAAGTTGTGTTTACACTTTGTTCCGTTAGAAACTATCCTACTTACCAATCAAGGTCGTGTGTTTACATTGGAATCTGCACAATTTTCGCCAACCCCATTAGTTATTGGTGAATATTCTTATGTTCAGAGTTCAGTCTCACTCAAGCTGGGGTATCGTGACAAACGTTAGTGTTTTACTGGATGAAAGGCACGCACTATTTAAAAAGGACATTGGTGTTTCTCCTATCACGGTTGATTTTATTTTGATCGTGAATTTAGCATCAAAGCTTCTGTTTTCAACATAATCGATTTTATTTCAAATAAATTATTCATCAGGAGTATCGTTCTTTTCGTAAGTAATTTATCATCAACACTTTTGAGTACATTTATTATTTTGGTTCTAGCAATTTACAGTTTTCCACTTTATCTGGTCATCATTTGCTCCGATCGTTGTAAAGTTTTCGTGTCGACTTTCCTCTGAAAACCTACAAATGATAACTGTACAGTGCTAGAAAAGCGATTGCCAACAGCCAGTCTGTTGATACTCTGTAGGAAGTGGCCTGCAGTGCGATGAATTCGAACGATTGTTTCACGAAGTTTTCGTGAGTGTTTTAAGCGGTCTGGCAAAAATAGTTGCGTGTGGCCTTGTCAGAAGTGCCGTTTGGATGCAAACGGCTTGTTATCCGAAGCCACTACTATGGCGAATGCCAACCACGTCATCGATAATCATCCAGGATCTAACAGTGTGTGTGTGGGTCGCAACCGTGTTTGCTACTCCAATGGAAAATGATAAAATGAGTGCAAATCAAGAACAGGAAGCAACTTCAAGTTGCCAGACAAAAGCCAGTTCTCCAAAAGGCGGCCGAAAAGTCGAGGACTGGTCACAGTGACAGGTCACCTGTCGTTCAGCGAGAACGAAAACTCAGAAATTGTTTTGAGCATTATATTGAGTTGATTAAACAGCAACCAAACCGGCTAATGCCTGAGGATATCTCCGAAGCCACCTTGCTAAGCGTTTGTAGACTAGACAGCCAAAAGAACTTGAAACATAATCAAACCAAGCTGATAAAGGTAGTACTTAAATCTCCTGATGAAAAAACTTATTACCACAGATAAGCAAAAGAGTCAAGAGTTTTCATTCGTTAACTATTGACGCTCGCGGACAGTATAAAAAGACGAGAAGCTGAAAAAGTACTAAAACTAAGGTCGGATGCTGACGAGAAGGACCTAAAGATAGTAAATTTTCGAGTGGTGAGGATCCGACACAATGAAACCGAAGCCACCTCGAGTGGGGCTCGAAGCCATTCAAATGGTCTTCAGATCTGTTGCACAAATGATTGGAGCATCTCAACAAGCAACCGAATCTATATGTACAGATAAGCTCGGACGAAGTCACAGTCACAGAAAATTAGCTGTCGCAGTCCAAGTACAGCATAGAACTTGGTTTTGAGAGTTTCATATTAGTTAGAACTGACAGATTCTAAAAGCGTATAGGAAGAGGAGTGACTCGATTCATTAAAAAAACTATATTTTTACCGTTATTGATGACATGTCGCATGAGAGCTGTGCATGTGAATTTGCTGCGTGGAATGAAAAGGATTGGTTGCTGATTGGTTTGGTTCAACCTGTGAGATGAATGAGGTCATGGTAGACAATCTCTTGATAACTATCTCCTATACAGAAGTGATAGATTGAAAGAACGAAGCGGAGGATGCCTTATTTACGCCCACTCTAGCATAAAATCACTACTATGTAATATGCCTGAACTAAACAAACTGAAGGATTCGGTGTGGATTGTATCAAAGCCGTCGAATCCCGTCACCTTACTGTTCGGCTGTATTTACAGTCAACCTCACGCATCAACAGATGAAACAACAGTGTTATCAAAGGTATCCACACAACCACCATCCCTTCCATTCACAGGCCAGCTTATTTGTGGTGACTTCAACTTGCCCGAAATTTCTTGGTTCTCAATCAAGGCGCTGAAACGTTATGAATCATTTATCCAATGTCTAGAGCTTGGACAATCAACTCAGTATGTCAATAGCACTACCAGACATCAAAACATCTTGGACTTAGTCTTTACCAGTGGCCTCATCCCCAATACTGTGTATATTGGAAAAACGTTCCCAGGTAGTGATCATAACATTGTCATATGCAGCCTCAATATAAAAACCACAACCGGTAGACGTAAAACCGTAACACTTCGTAGAAACTATCGCAAGATTGATTGGAATAACTTCCACAATTACCTAAGAAGCACTGATTGGAAAACTTTATTTACTGCAAACAATACCAACACACTAACCAATATATTTCATCTCAACATCAGAAGTACCGTCAACAAAATCGCACCTTTAGGATACTGTAGACCTACGTTCTCTAAAGACCTCTATATACCAGTCGGTACACGAAGATATCTTCAAAGGCATTGTACTCGACTTCACAGCTTTAATGACTTTTCCTTTTTAGTAACGATGACTGTAATATTTGTCCATGCAGAGGCAATAAGTACACAAAAAGCAGTCACACAGGAAAAACGTGCAGTCGAACTTAATAATAACTCCTCTGCACTCATCCTACTCCTTCAAAATAAACCTAAACGTTCTAAATCAAGAGGGAGCATATTTTCATTAAAGACAAACAAGTATACGAAGATCCTAAGCTTGTTACGGAACTATTTGGTGAACACTTTTGTTTCGCACTAACCAACGAAAATCCACTAAATGATTCAGAACCAAATCCAGGATATCCCTGTGAAATTACTAATGTAGACTTCAGTGTACAAAATATCTTTAAGGCAATCAGTACATTGAAACACTCCTACACTGAAGGACCAGATGGTATTCCAGCTAGCATTCTAAAACTTGGAGGTGATGGTATGTGTGTTTTGCTTCTCAAACTATTTGCGATATCACTCTCTACAGCGTGTTACCGTACTGCCTGGAAAACTACACATATCATTCTCAAAATTAAAACAGAACCTGAAGCAAATGTTGACTATTACCAGACCATAAACATAACTTCAATGGTACTTTGAGTGATGGAAAAAGTAGTTAAGGCGGCTTTAGTCCAACGTCTACTAACTAATAATCTCATCTTGACCTCCCAGCATGGATTTCTTAGGTCCAGATCATGCGATACATGCCTATTAGACTACCTGAATGCTATAACTCTTAAACGTGACAACAGACTCATTGTACCAGTCCTATCCTTAAACTTTAAGAAAGCGTTTGATAAGGTTCCACATAAAAAACTTCTCGCCAAACTGAAGTGCTTCGGAATAAACAGCCTACTATACTCATGGTTTGCTTCGTATTTAACAGTGCAGCCACCGAGCGAAATGTATTAGGTCCATTCTTGTTTCTTACGTATATAAACGATATATGTAACATCATAAAATTTGGGAAACGATACCTATATACTGATGATCACAAAATAGTATACAGCTGTAAGCCTGAGAATCTAAGTGAAAGTGTATCATGTTCCATAATTACCTCAACAACTTAACTATCTG